CACTCCACATGTATCAAACAAGGTCTGGCATTTCTAACAACTGAACCATGGTCTCTTAGAATATAATAAAAGAGTATTATATATTGTTTTGTATTCTGTATCTTTCAGAGCTGGTCCAAAGGAACGGCTGATGGAGGACATTCAGCACTTTCACGGTTACCAGCTGGTTGGAAATGGAAATATTTCAGCAGTACGAACCAAAGTACTGAGTAATTTAATGAAAAGGCTATGTGATTGTTTTTGTGATGCAAGTCAAGATGTTTTGAGAGCCACTACTATAGCAAGTTTTAAGCTATGGCCTGACAAAATGAAACAAGGTATAGAACTGTGATATTGGCTATTTGAAGTGCACCTTCTAAATTCTTTAAAAGCATAATAATAATTTTATTTTGCCTCTGTTATAGAATTTGGTGAAAAGGAAGTGTCTGTCTTGACTAGACATTATGAAGTCATACTAGAAGCTGCTAGTGTGAAAATAGGTGAAGTAGAAACTGAATGGAGCATGCTGAAATTAGAGCTGTATAACAGGTAATAAGAAAACTGCATTTCTGTTTATTGATTTACTCAAAAGGATTATGGAAATATATTTAGTGATAATTATAATTATACTTGTTACCATACTTTTTAGATTTCAGAACATCCAGACCTTGACATGGGATTCAGTGAACTCAGATTATTCAAAGAAGTATCCCAACATCCTGACATTGGTAGATTTGATCCTAACTCTGCCGGCAAGCTCAGCTGAAACAGAGCGAGGCTTCAGTCAAATGAAACTCACCATGATGCATTTACACTCTAAACTAAGGTCTGAAAGTGTGACAGATCTTATGATAATTCAGATGAACTCTCCAGATATCAAGAAATTTGACCCCCAGAAAGCTATTCATTTGTGGAATGTTACTTGGCAGAGAAATAAAAGACTACAGGGAGGTGATGTGATGGCAAAAGAAAGACCAGATTACTCCTCTGAGTTTGATTTGGAGAGTCTCTGTGGAAGTGACTAGATGAAAATTGTTAGGTTTTATTTCACAGTCTTCTTGTAACATAAAAGGACACTTTTACAGAATACCTTGCAGGGTTAATGAGTGTAAAAATTACATTTTTGTTTCATAATGTATTATAATGTTAAAATATGTCTTTTCTTTATGTTCACCGCTGAATCTCCAGTAGGTGTTTACATTTGCCCTTCTATACCTGACTTCTATAAATCTGAAGACAAGGAACAAAAATAATGGAGTACATTGTTACCTTGGTGACATGTGGACAAAGGGATGACTTATAACTTCTATCTGATTGTTTATTGTATTTAGCTGAGTCATAATACATTATAACCACTGGAGTTAACTGTCATCTTACTATCAGTCTTTAATGGTTCAAGAAGCTTCATGGATTCCAAAAACCCTGATTTTCCTTTCATAAATGTGTAGAAAATCTGTGCGTTATTTCTGTCAAATGATTGCTTGACGTCTGTAGCCTATGAACTTTGGATCATACCTTCTCTCCATATCTGTATGTGTTGCTACTTTTTATTGTCTTGTGGATAAAGTTTAACATGACCTTTCACAGATTTTTGTCCAACTTGTCCTTCAGAAGGCTTTCCTAGAGAGGCAGAACAGATCCATTTTCCATTGCTGATTGTTAATTGCACAAATTGGTCTTCCCATAGCAAACGCTCTTACAGCCAGGATATGACTAATATACTTCACAGCTTGAACCACATTTTTTCCCTGTAAAAAAGTTTGTGACAGTTGCAGTAAGAATGCTGTATCTTGATTTTTAATCTAGGAGCTAAGAATGAGAATGAGAAATCTGATTGCATAATTTCATAACTTTACATGTTCTAAGTGCAACATTCTACTTGATAATTGCCAATCAATTTAAATCATACCAACTGAATATATTTCTCCCATCAAGTAAAAAGCAATGATTTATGTCAAAAGGTAGCTAATGTAAAATCATTAATGACCCTTCTTAGTTCTTCCAACAGTGATGAAGATTAACTAGAAATCATTTGGGAGAAATTAATGTGAGGTCATTCACCTTCACATCAACCCTTTTCTAAATTAAGATTGCTTCTTTCAATATACAACATCTCTAGTAATTGCAGAAGATACATTATAAACACACTCACACACACACATATATATAGTGTCTTTTTTTTGTGTGTCTTGCATATATATTCATGCTACTTCTAGGTCTAAATAGTGTGTCAGATTAGAGTAGGATTCTTTTTCCAAAATGCCTGCTACCCCTTCTAATTAAAAATGTTTCTACACATTTAATAAGCTCATTTTCTATTCACTCTCCTACATTGTTCAATAAAAACCTGTTGGGCTTGGGTTGGGTTTTTGTGGGTTTTGGGTTTGGTTTTTTTTTTTTTGGACTTAACAAAAAGACTTTGTAAAGATCATACTTGTTTTGAAACCAGTCTTGTTAGGTGGACAAAGCCGATTCTGGGAATTGTTTTCCCATTATTTCCCAGAGGACATTATTTCCTTTTACCATTTGCAGACACCAATATTCTTTTCTCAGCACCATCTGTATAGCTGCCTGCGCATAGCATCTCTCCATGATTATAAAGTATTAGCAGCCCCTGAATTAAACTGATGAATCACCTTTTGTCTTGTAATATAATCAGATATTCAAAAATACTTCCATGCTCTATAATATAAACCCAAACATATTAAATCTAGACAAAGTATCTAAAAGTACATTGAGGAAAGTTATTTGATTTTTTAATATGCTTCTGAGGGATTTCCTTTCTCTCTGAGACTTCCTCATTCCTCCTAGGTATGTCATGAGGTGGAATTAGGTCACACTCTATTTGAAGTTTTTGAAGTTTTATAACTTTCTGAGGACACTTTGGAATTGTCCCACATCACATGTTTCAGGAGGAGGTAGTAAAGTAAAAGAAATTACCTTACAGCACATCACCAATTCTATAATTAATAGATAGCAAGTAGCTTAGCTTTGAATGAAAGAGAGGGTTGTTTCTTCACATTTACCAGAGGAGGAAAAATAGGTAGACTCTGCAGATCACCTGACAGTGCTTAAATATCTCACAATAATTCAAGTTTGTTTACTTACATCAACTAATGTAAAATTTACCTGAAAACTATATTCTAGCATGTTCTACAATCCAAAGTCCTATAAATTGTGATTAATGTTTTAGATTCTGATCCTTTAATCCCATTTCAGACATTTTCTCTTGATTCAAGTTCTTTAATTTCCTTGCCCCTCTAATACTTTTTATGTATGTTTCTGAAGTCCTGTAGCCTCACCAAAAAAGTGAGCTGAGGATATCAGTATCCTTTTAGAATTTTGTGCAGAAAAACAAAATTCAAGTTCATTTTAGGAAGCCCGAAACTGATAGGAAATAAAACAACAGCATTTTTTATTGTCATATAGGGAAATCATAGTAGGAATTGAACAGTTTAAACCATAAGATAATGGGAGAGAAAGAAGTTAGATTGCCAGAGTACTAGGGATCAGATGTGGAAAGGGAAATGTTTAGTAAAATATGAAATAAAAATTATGATAGCTGGGCTTTTCATGGTAAAGCACTAGACAATCTGAGACTGCAAATAAAATGTAAACATTTTTCCTGTTATTTTAATACAAAGTTTTCACTGGCTCCTTAGTGGACCATAGCCTATTCTCCCCATGAATCACTAAAAAGTTACCTGCTTTATTGAATCTTCTGTGAAGTCTCCCATGATACTTCTGTGATGTAGGCTTTATAGTGCCGTATGGAAATAATCTGATTCTTGTGGCTTGAAGTCCTCCTCAAAATACAAGTTTCTGGTTACCTTAAAACTATTAAATCAGCAATCCAAGGTGCTTCAGTAAACAGCCTAACTAACATGATTTTTAAAAAATGTTCTTTCTCAAAGTAGATAACCCAAAAACCTTCCAGAGATTGACATTAGAGCACTGTTTTTGCTCTGTCAGTATTTTTTTCCCAGCTTTTGCTCTCATGCTGAAATTTATGGTAGGACATAGGGCTGAAAGCCCAGGAGTTTCTCCCTTCCTTCTTCTTGTCCCAATAGACTTTAAACTTCCCAAATCTATTTTTTTTTCCTCTTCTCTCCAAGCTTACATATTTATAGGATTTCTCTGCTGTAATAAGACATGCTAAGGACATTACTCCTGGTTTTTCTGATTGGGGACAAACAGGTCTACAGAGATTGTAGACTATTAATTCAAATTGGCAACTTGGTTTTGAATACTGGCATTATGAAATTAATATTCAAACACATTCTTAATATTCCTACCACTTAATTCTTTCTTCATAAAAAGAAAATCAGCCATGCCTTTGCAAAGTTTGGCTGTAAATAGGAAAAAATCTAAATCCTTCCAGTATTTCATTGATTATGTTTGCTTTTAAAGGTAACCTGAAAACTTACTGTTTTGATGGTATGGAATGGATCATAACCTGACCAAATCAGCTTTGTCTCTCAAAATTTAGATAACTTTACATTTTTTTGTCATTACTTCAGAGGTTTCATAGTGAATCCTCACTGAGCCAGCAAAGTCCATTTCTGAAAGAAAAGACTCATATCTGTGTGTTAAATTTTGGTATACATCATTTTGTGTTTTAATACTGTGCATGAACGTTGAAGTTTCTATTTGCTTATAAGCAAATCCGTGCCTATTTAAAAAAAACCAAAACAAAACCCAAATAGGTTTCATTGCACTTATTTATTTTTATCTTATGATTTCTTTAAAATAAAATTGACGGAGCTATTTATAATTCCCACAAGCTAATTCTCAGAAGTTTTTTAAGCAATTCAATTTTGTTTCAAAGTTTAACAGACAATGGTCTGTGTTTTCCATCCTACTCTCTAGCACATGCTTTCTTTGAAGAGTAGAGAGAGATTTATGATTGATTAAAATAGAGCACAGTGAAAGAAAAGGTTGGTAGGTCTTCAATACACAGAATATGTGTGTGATTGGTATTTGTGAACTGTTTATTAGCTGTCAGTGTAGACTGTACGAGGATGGGTTAGTGAACACAATGCAGATCAGGACAAGTACCAAAAAATTGCAGTGTATTGGAATATTTGACATTTTGCTATTAGGCAGGCCACACATGATTTGTTTGAAATGGGAAAATTTTATGTTTGGCTTGAAAGATATTACCACTATCAATATTACACAATAGCAAAATAAATAATTTTCCCATATGGCCATTAAAATTAAAAGGTAGATTTCCTTTAACAAAAGAAGTCTATTTAAAATGGTAAATATATTTTTTATATATATTGACTTTCTTTTATTAGGTTTTATACATAAGAAAGTATTTATTGACATTTTTATTGACTTGATTAATTTGAATCTTGGAACAAATTGCCTTCCTGATGCCTGGATGAACTTAACACTTCCAGATGTAAGTTAACCCTTATTTTCATTTCAACTGAAGGATTGGTTTCTGTAGAAGATGCAGCAGTGTCCTTACTATGATAAAGTCAAGAGTATAACTATTATAAGGCATTATCAGTTTTTCTTTAAAACGCTTCTGTTTTACCAGAGAAGGATTCTGGAAGCCACTGTGCCAAAGTAAAATGCTTTTGTCAGCAGTGTATTTACAATTTTCAAATTATATCAGTTCCTTAGACATTATTGAAAATTCTTTTCCAGAAGTTAAAAATAAGGCTGTTTATGTTCTTCATTCCAAAACAGGAGAATAAAATCTGGAGCTGTATGACCTTAAACTTATTTATCCAAGATTTTCAGATTTAGGAACATGAAGAATTATAATTTAGTCTTTCCAAATCTTCATCACTGAATTTTCTGATTAATTTTACTTTCAGATGTTGCTGGTAAGCCTATGAGATGAAAAGGTTTAGTTGTTTTAGTATATTTCTATAAGTATTTCTGACAGTAAGCCATGATTCACATTAAGATTTTAATTGGATTTTACATGAGGGCAACAGCTTTATTCAAATATTCTTCACACAGGTAAATACATTTGTAAATGATTTTAAAGTTTCTGACTGATGGATTTCCAGTGAGTTTAGTGAAAACTAGGCACAGCTTTCAGCATCCATCTATAAAAATCTAATCTGAGCACAGGAGATTAATTATATGGGGAAAACTATGAGTCAAATGTTATTAATAGACCGCATGTGCATGTATCCCATGTTCTTTGTTGTTTGAGAAGTTTTAGTGCTTATAAGTACTATTTTTATTTTAATAACAGAATTTCCTTTCCTTAAAAGCATGGTTTTAAAATGAGACTTTTAAATTTATAGTGAAAACAACACCTTACATACAAAAGAAAATGCAGGAAGCATAAGCTAAGGTATATCTTTATTCTGCACAAGCTATTCTGAACTGAACTTACCATTCCATCATTGTGTGACTTAAGAGAATTTCAAATAAGTTTTCAAATTGTAATAAGCGGTACTGTACCTGCCAATGTTAGGGCAGATGACATCTACAGGATTACCAAATGGTCTTACTCTGTGTTGCCCCAGGCCCTTACTCCTGTAAACACACTGCTTCCTTCTCAAACTCCAATCTGGAGCAAACCCGCACTTGCCTTGACAAGAAAATCTGGGTGTGGGGTAGAAGATAGTGTAGAAGTACAGAGTAGCATCTCACCACACCAGTAGTGCAGAAATGAACTGTGCCAATTTTGTACCCTCTATCAGATACAGCCTTTGCAATGCTGTGTCAGGAGATTTTACGTGTACTGTCCTATTTGCGTTCTCTACCCTGCTCTGCTATCCACATACGACATCTTCAGCGGTAAAAAGAGACATGCAGCAAGCTGCAAAGCAGTTTTTATACTACTGCTTTTGTCTGACTGATAATAATGCTGGAGCAGAGAAAAGTCACGTGGTGGACACCTGTAAGAGCAAGCAAAATAGGACCAAGGCAGAGGCCCAAGCATTTGTTAGATTTTGTACTCATGCTGCTAAATTGTCAGTTCAATTCTTAGCGCCCTGTCAGATAGAACATGGTTCAGGGGCTAGCGTGTACTAAAGGCCATTACCTCACAGGTGGTTTAGAGACAGACCCCTATTTAGGGAGTCGAAATATTTGTTTATATATCAACTGCAATGCCAATTGGTCTTGATGACAGACTGTGGTCTGTTGCCTGTTTTGTTTAGTGATACATGTCCTTTATACATCTTCGAAACCTCACTGCAGAACCCTGTCCATCCTAACCAGGAAAAAGATCTAAGGGTACATAGTATATAGAAAGTGTATGTTTATGCACACGTATTTGACAATATTTATTATTTTGTTTTTATAGTTACAAAATCTGGCATCTGCATTCACAGTGAACTCAGAAATTACTGACTGGCGCAGATTCTTGCTAGCAGCAGCACAGCCTTGGCCAGTGCCGTCTGTGACACAACTTCTTGAAATGCTACATAGCTTCAAGCGTGTTGATGTAGCTGGATCAGGCTTTGTTACAGAGGAATACTATATGCAGGTTATAAGTCTTTTATCTTTTGAATAATATTTGTTTGTTAAACTCAAAGAATTGAATTGTGTATTGTTGGGTTTCACATTCAGAAATTCAGTCTGAATTTTACATGTTTTGGGTTTTGAAGGTGCTTTCTAGGTAAAATTATCTTCAGGAAATTGAAGGCCTAATATCTATCTTATCTATAGTTCCACAAATTAGGCTAATTAAGCTTACTTTTTACGTCTGTTTTCTACTTTCCTCATAAATTAATTTCAAGTGAAGATCCTGAGCACTTTGACTGCTATTAGTTTGTTTGACACTATAAAACAAAAAAATTGCTCCAAATGGAAATAAGTATTTTAGCTTGGGCTCACCAACTCTACTTTAATTAAATATTTCTAGAATTTTTCCAATAAGGAATTTTTGCAAATGGAGATTGTCTTTCAGACCTTGAATACATGGGAGGGAAAAAAGCTAGCAGTTGCAGACATGCAGACTGTGAATGTACATTTTAAATAGGATCCTAGTTCAAACATAATATTAACTGTGCATTTACCGACTTCAGGATTGGAATTGGCTCACATTCAGTCAATAATAGTAAATATGCAATGGTGTATATTCGTTTGTTTATAGAACCTCCCCGTTAGTTCTTCCAAACTTCCATGAGGGTGATGACTCTGAACCTACAGTCTCATACAGTTGCTTAAAGACTAAAAAGGACTAAAAAGTTCATAAACACACAGGTAACTCCACAGCTGAAGCTCCTTTTTCAGAAGAGAGCTATACAGGTAGGCACATAACTTAGGTGCTCCAGAGAATGTTATGGGAACCTCCAGAGGCTATCCAAAGCAACTCACTTCAACAGTCTGCATTGCTCCAAAGATTGTGCTCTGCAACCAGTTCATGTTGGAAATAAAAGTTGTAATGTCTGTCATCCCTATTTCATGTTGGAAAATATGAGCAAAACTTTCTTCACTTAAAAAACTCATTAAAACCCTGTATATCTACTATATATGAGGTGCTACAGTTCCTGTTACTGACAGTACAGTGGTTTGGAACTTTTGCATATACAGTTATGAGAAGAATAGGAACAGAACTTTTCAGACTTAAGCAAAATTTGGTCCTCTAATTTCAAATTGATTGATGAGGAACATCTGATTTTTTTTTATTCCAGTGTTTCTTGTATCAGTTTGGAGCAATTTATGGCAAATTTTATGAGGTCAATACTTGTTTCATTTCTTTCTTATTAATTTTTTTTTCTTGAAAAAGTAATGATTCGTGTTCTGGGAACATGATGCACTAGAGAATGAGTGAGTCAGTGCAGTCCATAAAATTAAGGAAAGAACAATAGCAGAGAGTTAGTAAAATAATTGTTCATTTGTTATCATTGATATTATAATTGTGTCATCTACAGCAAACCATCTGATATATTTCTGGTAAAGTTCTCAAAAGCAACATGAAGTCGTTATTTTCTTGTTATTAATTTGCTCAGTTTTCCCAGTGAACTCACATGGGGAAAAAAAGCAGAAAACTAACATTACTAATTTATTTTCCTTTCTGAAAATCTCTTGAAACTTCCTGTTTTGTCCTATTTCATTGTCTTGCTTTGTAAAGAAAATACATAATAATAATGCAATGTTTTATATAATCAAGAATGTAGTAGTTCACCTGAAATATGGAAAAGGATGTTGCTAATGAAATTTATAAATTTTTTACAATATTTTAACTTAAGGCCTACACTGAAAGACTATTGCATCTCTCGTTAACATCTCTGATTCATGAAGATTTCCAACTATTTGAAATCTTCCATACTGATCTATTAATCTAACAGAGAATATACTGAGATTTTTTCAAATATTAAAATCTTTCAACAAAAATGGAAACAAACTTTATTCTCTGTTTAATATTGAGACTTACATGCATTCAAAATGTCATGAAACTATTGTATTTTACTGTCTTAACAAGAAACAGTGACAAGCAATGTTCATTAAGAATAACAAGAAGAATCTTCCACTGGGAATTTCAGGTGCCCCAGGTGGCCCCTCTATCTGCAGCTGTTCTAGTAAACTACACAGTGCTAGGGAACATCCCCAGGTAATGGTACTCAATTGCCTATACTGTGACATTATTTGCATAACCTGGCATGATTTAACGTGGGCCACTTCCAAGTGAGTGAATTTTTCTGTATGCAGTCATCCTGGTTTAGAAGGTAAGATCTAGCTGATATCTTCTGTCTTTTGAGTCTAGTAGCAGAGAATCGGTTCTGGGCACTTTTAATTTACAGTTATAAGTATAGCTCTATAGGCGTTATAGGACACTGAGTCTTGTTTTGGGTACAGGCAAGCAGGGGAAAAGCCATGTCTCTGTCAATCATTATACTGAAGCATGTGGACAGTTTCTTCCAAAAGTGCAGTTAGGGCAAAAGCTATGCTGTATCACAGGATACCCTAAAAGGAAGAAACCAGAACGCACATAGAAACTCTGCATCATATTCTGCTTCTTGAGCAGTGCAAGTTTAGAATCATAGAATCATAGAATCTTAAGGTTGGAAAAGACCTCTAAGTCTTGAAGACCTCTAAGTTGGACCATCAAGTCCAACCATCAACCCACCACTACCACATCTACTAAAATTTTTGTCCACCAAAATGTTTACAAATACCTAGTTCATTTTCACTTTTTTCAAGAGCATAGTGTCACTTCTATCCTACTCCATTTCCAGTAATTCCCAAAGTATCTGTTACAAAGTACAAATAGCTACTTATTTGTTCTGTCATTCTCTATTAATAGCAAAGTCAGCTAGATTAAATTCAGGAATTAAGCTCTTAGTAGTCTGTCTGTTGAGGAGTTATAGAGCATAAAGACCACTTTATTTTAATGTGTGAAAATAAATTACATTGGTTTGTTTGTTTATTTTAATCAGGTTGGCTTATGGTTTAATGGCAATGAAGATCTAAGCATAACAAGAAGTTGCACAGAACCTTTGCCTTTAGATAGGCAAAGACATCTCATAAAGGTAACTTTGAAAACAGGTATTTTGAAAAGACCACTGACTATTCTAATATGAGAGGTCTCAGTCAAAAGTTTCTTGGGTCTCTCTATTTCTGTAACAATACAATGTTTCAGTGGTTTCTGAGATCAGGTGGTGCTTCAGAATAGGATGTCTATGTATAAAACCCTCAATGTTAGAAATATTGTAGAAAGTAATCTAGGAATTGTCCTTCAGTATTTGTCGTGGTTTTACCCCAGCTTAACCCTCTCAGCTGAAACGAGGACAGTATTCTAAATCATAGTCTACCCAGAAAGACTTGATTATTGCTGTTCTCCTTTGAACCACATTAATTTTGCTACACAGTAACAAGCTTTGTAAAGAATGGGAGGCAAATAATCCCTGCATCTAAACTCATTAAAATCTCCATGGAAGAGGGAGTTAATGTTGTGATCCGAACACAAGAAAATATTTTGGACCTATTTTTCATGATACGAGATTTTATGTTTTTCTCCTTGTTCTGTGAAAAGAAAATACTACAATTTCTGTTTCCTTGAATGACTCAGACACACTTCTGATTTATCTTGATTTACACAGCCTCAACGTATTTTCAAAATTAATATCACTTATAGCAGTCATTATTTTATTTCATTCTTTTCTCTACAGTCTTTGATTTGTATTTGATTAAATTCCACTTGTAGAAATTAATGTACATATTTTTGTCCTTTTATAGTTTTTCTTCAGTTTATTTGCTGATACCAGAAAAGATCCTGCTCTGCTTAACTATACTGAGATGCTACTTTATTTTGCTTCCCACACTGATCCAGTTGAAGGTGTTTACAGAGCACTTAGCGTTGCTACTGGAACATATATTCATAGAAAAAAAGAAGCTTCTCTTCCATGTGTGGTAAAATATTACAGTAAAATATTAAAGAATAATAGAGATGATTGCAAATTATAAATTAGCTAGATTTCTGTGTATTTTCTTATGCTGGGTATCTCCAGTCCTTACAAGTAGTCCCACTGACTTTATGGGAACTCTGCAAATAGTTCCACTGACTTTGGTAATAATACTCAGAAGAGTTCTTCCAAAAATCTCAAAATCTGCTTTCCAAATAATAATGAAAGTTTAAGATATTTACGGGTAACTACTCTTTGTACAGATGAATGGAGGACATTTTTTGACGTAATCTTAGACAATTAAGTCCAGCTGTCAATCCCCAGGGATCAGAGTGTAGTGTGACTAATGGTATTGTTATCTAAAGATATAAAACCTGATATTATTGCTGATCTTACTTTCTTTTCCACTGTGTTTCTTCAGAGTATTTAGAAGTATATACACTTTTGTTGTTATTTTCAAGTGTTTCGGTTTATCTGTAAATCAGAAGGATTAATAACTAGTAATTAGTTTCATATGAAATATTTTTTCAAATAATTTTTAGAGCTATCGTGAACATACTGTCACATCAAATGAAGCTGTGCTTTTGAACATTTAGTATTTCTGGAGTATGATGTTATTTTTAAAGTCTCAAAACTGCCATTAATGCATTGCATGCATCAATTACTTATTATTGAAGTATAAGTCATTTTTTGAGACATAAAATATGTATCTGTACACACCTTGGAAAGACCTCACTGTTCTAGATAATAAAATGTTTCACTTTGCTGTCACAACCACAGTGACTCTAGCATTTGCCTAATACTTAGAATACAGTTGTGGTGTCCAGAAACAGTATAGAAAGAACATTATTTGACCACACATTGTAATCATATACATATTCATAATTACATTTTATTACATCACATGACAAAATATATTATTGTACTCCCCTGTGCCTGTTTTTATTTGGCACAACAGAGTTTTTGTCCAGGAGAAATACCGAATAAGACAATTTCTTTTTCACACTTCATAGACAGGAGAATACAGAACACTCCCAATTAGATACAGTAGATCTGAACTTGGTTCCCAATATTTCAGTGGAAAGTTCTCTCACATCATTGGATATAAAGCAACACAACCTGTTCTCCTCCCTACTGTTTTCTGCTTGGTTTGATCTGTTTGGTTGGGACTTTTATAAGATTGTAAGTAACTGCACCGGCATTATCACCTTTGTGTTAATTACTTCTTAAGGCTGAGTCACACCTAAAGGGAAATATTTCTCTTCAATTTAGAATTAACAACACATTTCTGAGGAGCAAGTGTTATACCCCATTCAGCCCAAGAATTTCTTCATGCTTACTTTCCCACTCATTGGCTCTGTGAATCTGTGCTATGTCTAATGTATGTGTGACAATGTATTACACAGACAGTTTGTGTGTCTAATTCATCTTGGGGAGTCCCTCAGAAACCTGGAAATATCTAAGAATTAGATGCTAAATGAATGTCTTGCATGTGTGGATTCTCTTTGACTTTATAGTCGTATTTTACAGGTTGGTGCTCAAAATTACAGGCCAATAGAACATGATTTTAATATTTTCTTTCTTCTTATGCGTTGTGTTCCATATATGTACACTTTAACAATAATGCTGAATACAGAAAAAAGAGGGCAAGTAAAATCCTGTTCTGCTGAAGTGAATGAGAGTTTTCACCATTGGCTTCAGTAGAGCCAGCATTTCATGCAGGATATTCAACAACCACAAGGGGGCAAAAAGTAAATTACGAATTGGTGGTGTGTCATGTTTGAGTCAAGCTCCATCAGAGAGACATAGATCCCTGAAGACATCCGAAGTGGGTTTCTGCACCAAATTAAGAACCTAAATCTTTGTCTACCTGTGACTTTTTACATCTGATCTAAATATCCCAAATCTCACTACAGGTACTGAAAATCTAGTAAATATTATCATTTGAATATTCATCAGTGGCATATAAAGAGCTATCCATCTCATCTCAAAGGAGTTTTGTAATACACCTTAGATAGCCAGCTTATAAGTAGGCATGCATACAGCAGCACTTAATTTGTCTCTTCTCTTTTTCTTGTTCTGTGCTGATAATTGTATGACTTCTTATTGGTAGCTGCCTAAAGAAATACATCTGAAACTTTAATGACATTAATACCAGAAGATCAGACAAACATATTCCAGAGACTTTTGTTACTTTTAAGAACTTCATAGCAAAGACCCTTTCACTTAAAATGCTTGGCTTTTAAGTCTCAATAATTTTGCTCTTGGTTGTGTAGATCTTATAGCTAAATGTAAATGGTACAGTGGGAGATAGGAAAACCTGACTGCTGGTATTTGTGTAATCTCCACTGTTGAGTGTTAAAAAGACTGTATCAATGACTCTGCTCCTCCTGTGTTGAAAAAGACATGTATTAAGGTCTAAGACATGTAGCAAAAATATGACTGAATTTCAGCAGTCCATCCTGCCTAATGAGGAAAGAAATGGTATATTCAATTAAATGCAATTTCCTGTTGTTGTTAATGGTTAGTCTACATAGTGGCCTAATCAATTAAATGCAATTTCCTGTTGTTGTTAATGGTTAGTCTACACAGTGGCCTAATCAATTAAATGCAAGTTCCTGTTGTTCTTAGTGGTTAGTCTACGCAGTCACCTAATCTATTCAAAGCTTTGTTCACCTGTCTGAGGTCCTTTCTCATCTTTGTGCTCACAAATCTCTACAGTGGTTTGTTTTTGGTTTTTATCTTTGGTCATCTCTAATATCACCACAAAGATACCTCATTGCTTGTTTATAGTAAACTAATTTTCCTGCATAAAGCTTTTCTCATATTTTTCTGTGGAGAGCTGGCAAGCCTATGTTGTTAGCCAAAATAAATTTCTTGCACTGAGTCCTTGATTTGGACTAGAAAATTCATGGTGCTTTTTACATGTGAACATCCAGAATTACCAAGTTTATTCCTTATACAAACACAAAGTCGTTGGTAGAGTATTGTAATTTGTAACTATTAAGTATTTTTATGTTTTGTTGCTCTGAACAATATTAATTTCTCAGTGGAATGTTGGCCATGTTCCTAGAAAAACCTGTTTATTAAATTTCTACTAAGGCCAACATTACAGATTTTTCAGGACTCTCAGGATCTATTCCTTCGTCCTGTAGATCAGTAGATAATTTTGTGTGAGTAGATGATTTTTGTTTTGTAAGAACTGAAGTTTGGAAGTATAATCCACTGGTCCTTAATGAATGTCTAAATGGAAAAAAAATGACCTACTGACAGACTATTTATCACCAAGTATTTTACTGATGCTTTATTTTCTTAGGCTTTTCCTTATACCAACATAGTGCCAAGTGAGAAAACTTTAACAGAAAATGAAAAAGAATTCTTGAATTACACGGGTAAAGGAATAATTTCAGTGGCAACTCTATTCAAAGTGTTTCATTCTGGAGGAGGTAAAGATGAAGATAATCATAGATTTAGTAATCTGGAGAAGGAAGGCAGCTATGAGAAGGTAGGCTGGTTGACTCAAAGAAGGTTTTGTACCTTGCATTATATGTTAAATAAATACCTGCTGCAATCTTTGCTTTTCCCCAAATTTTTTAAAAATTTTAAAAATTTTTTTATAAATTGACCACATATTATTTTTTTCTTAAAGCATTTCATCAAAATATACAAAGAATTAGGGAATGAAGATCTGACACCCATTCCAGTCACACTCCTTTTGAAGCATCCTTTCATTCAAGACTTGATCAACAGGTATCAAGAATACAAGCTTCCTGTAAGTATTGGTTTCTGAACTTTGTAAATACACATATGGAAATTTGCATTATCCCAGAAATGTAATTAATTAGGTACTGCCAATTTGCAGTGTAGACCAGATATTCAGCATAGCAGATTGTAGATTAGATCTGTTGTTTTGTTTTTTGTGAAAACTCTGTCCATCAAAGACAGCATTGCTTTCTGACCTATTTTTTTATACCTGTCTTCCTGGCCTATAGCAACCTACAGATTTTCTACTGCCTTGTCACATAGGGCATTGCCTTTCCCCCCACCCATAGGAAGGAGCCTGATTTAATTACGTTGCCCACAGGACCTTGCTGCAAGACACTATGGGATATGTGATAGAACACATTCCATCTGAGGCCAACCAGGCTGCAGACTGGCATGCAGAGGCAGTAACACATTCAAATGTTCTTCCCTGCCTACTCTAGAGCTTTCCTGTTACCTGCACCTATGTTTAAATGTGCATTAAAACAGTTGCACATAATGCAGGTTTGGGCCAGAGCATCAACCTATTAAATATGTCGAACTATGGCAAAAATACATGATATATATGGGGGTGTAAGAAAATAGTTTGAGACAAAATGAAAGGATGCTTGCATTTGCGTGCCCAAAGAGCAAACATAAACAGTCTTCAAAAGTTTGAGATGATCGCCACCAGGGACAAGTTTCCCACAAATTCTAAAACATAGAATCATAGAATCATAGAATGGTTTGGGTTAGAAGGAACCTTAAAGATCACCTCATTCCAACCCACCTGCCTGGGCAGGGACACCTTCCACTAGACCAGGTTGCCCAAAGCCACATCCAACCTGGCCTTGACCAATTCCAGGGATGGGGCATCCACAGCTTCTCTGGGCAACCTGTTCCAGTGCCTCACCACTCTCACAGGGAAGTATTTCTTCCTAATACCTAATCTAAACCTACCCTCCCTCAGCTTAAGGCCATTACTCCTTGTCCTATCACTACATGCCTTTGTAAACAGTCCTTCTCCAGCTTTCCTATAGGCCCCTTTAGGTACTGGAAGGCTGCAATAAGGTCTCCCCGGAGCCTTCTCTTCTCCAGGCTGAACAACGCCAACTCTCCCAGGCTGTCTTCATAGGAGAGGTGGTCCAGCCCTCTGATCATCTTTGTGGCCCTCCTCTAGACTTGGTCCAACAGGTCCGTGTCTTTCTTGTACTGGGGCCCCCAGAGCTGGACACAGTACTCCAGGTGGGATCTCACAGGAGCAGAATAGAGAGGCAGAATCACCTCCCTCAACCTGCTGGTCACGCTTCTTGTGATGCAGCCCACGATACGGTTGGCTTTCTGGGCTGCAAGTGCTTATTGCCAGCTCACATTGAGCTTCTTGTCCACCAACACCCCAAGTCTTTCTCCACAGGCCTGCTCTCAATCCCTGTTCAAGCTGAAGGAGGGTCGATTTAGATTAGATATTAGAAAGAAATTCTTTACTGTGAGAGTGGTGAGGCACTGGAACAGGTTGCCCAGAGAGATTGTGGAGGCCCCATCCCTGGAAGTGTTTAAGACCAGGTTGGATGAGGCTTTGGGCAACCTGGTCTAGTGGAGGGTGTCCCTGCCTGCAGCAGGGGGGTTGGAACTAGATGATCTTTAAGGTCCCTTTCAACCCTAACCATTCTATGATTCTATGTTCCACCCAGCCTGTAGCTGTGCTTGGGATTGTGCTAACCCATGTGCTGGACCTTGCACTTGGCCTTGTTGAACTTCATGCGGTTCTCACGGGCCCACCTCTCAAGCCTGTCAAGGTCCCTCTGGATGGCACCCCTTCCCTCCAGCACATCAATTACACCACACATCTTGGTGTCATTGGCAAGCTTGCTGAGGGTGCACTCGATCCCTCTGTCCATGTCACCGACAAAGATATTAAACAGCGCTGGTCCCAATACTGACCCCTGATGAACACCACTGGTAACTGATCTCAAGTTGGACATCAAGCCATTGACTGCAAATCTTTGAGTGCGACCATCCAGCCTATTCCTTGTGCACTGAGTGGTCCATCTTTCAAATCCATGTCTCTCCAATTTAGAGAAAAGGATGTCATGCAGGACAGTGTAAAATGCTTTGCACGTGTCCAGGTAGATGATGTCAGTTGCTATTCCTTTATCCACCAATGCTGTAACCCTGTCATAGAAGGCCACCAAAATTGTCAGGCACGATTTGCCCTTAGTGAAGCCATGTTGGCTGTCACCAATCACCTCCTTATTTTCCATGTGCCTGAGCATATTTTCCAGGAGGATCTGCTTCATGATCTTGCCAGGTATAGAGTTGAGACCAACCGGCCTGTAGTTCCCCAGGTCTTCTGAATAAGATACATGATACTCCAGGACTAAGTTGCTATGTCTTAATTATATTCATCACTTGTAAGAAGTGAAGTGCTCAGCATTTATTATATCACCCTTAATCATTGATAGTGAAAGACAACATATAAGGATAAAAAGAATATATTTACTCTGTCAAAGTAAGGGTTAAAAATTTACTTGCTATAGTAGGAAGAGATACAAAAGGAAAATGTAAGACAAAGACAACACAACTGAACATAATCAGTGAGTATCTATCCTGCCTATGTTAATGTCTCAGCCAGTTTGGGAAGATAGACGCCATGGAATGTCCAGTCATTCCTCCTTTCCCTTCCTCATTCTTTCTTCCTGACTCTTTATTTAATTGAGTACAGCATTTCCTAATTTGAACATTTTTTCCAACTTCCCTGAATTTCTTGTAGACAAAAGCATTTCTTAAACTAGCTCTCTGTTCTATACATGATCCATCTCAAGAACTGTTCTTTACACAAACAACTCACTGATTTTGCAACATTTAACATAATACAAGTTCCCCTTGAAGACCAAACGGGATGCAACATAAAGTAACACTTAACTAGGGTGTAAACTGAATAATGCCATATACAAATACTCTGATATTTAGGGGGAGGGGGACTTCTTCTTAAAACCTTTTCACACTATACCAATAGCTGATTATCATGACTACAGCATCTATTCTTTACCAAAATTTCTAATCTTCCTTTATCAGTTTCAGGAGGAACTATGCTATATAACTTAAAGAGTAGATTGTAGTATACATTTAAAATTTATTAGCTACCATCAATCACTTAGGTTATTTGTGTCTGGTAGGATATGTTCAGGGCAGAACAGTCATAAAAATTGTCAATGAGAAAAGTGACAGGTTTTTGCAGTAGCTTGGCAGTAGCTGAGGGTTTCAGTGCACATGCTCTAGCCTAAAGAAGTTTCCACAGCTTGACTACCGAAGACATATTTGTATCCTTGCATTTAAATAATACATTTTGCTGCTTATTTGGCAGATTCATTTGATGCTTGCACCTCGTGACTTGACAGATGATGCAGAGCTTCAGTTTTTGTTTGTAATACTTAGAATTTCTTGCAAGGGCTTATACTGACTGTATCTCAAATATAGTCCTCTATGGTTTCTGTACTTCAAAAGAGAAGATTATATTCCTTGAAGGTACTGGTAAATACAGACATGAATCATGCACAAAATCAACACTTCACAATCTTACTTTCAAATTCTGACTAACTGGGAAGAGTTAAGACCACAAGTTCTTACTCCACAGCAAATTATTATATTCACCAGTAAACAGGCATGGAGACCCAGTGGCCATTGTTTATGTAGGTTAGGATTCTGGTAAAAAAACATATGTACTCCAGGAACAGTTTTCCTCTGACAGTTCTTCAAAGAACTATATTTGGTGAACAGGTAAACTTTTTTCTTCCCAAAACATTTTCAAACTAAGTAAACAATATTTTTCGCATCAATTATTTTTTTCAGAAATTCTCCTGAGCCTATGAAAATCTCTATAAAAATTAAATTCAACCACAGTGCTGTTATTTTGAGATCTTTTACAAGATAAATATAGCAAGTTAGGGTGTGGTTTCTAAGGTTAAAATGTTTCTACTACTGCAGTCATAAACAGTGGAAAATAAAATGTTTTGCTGAAAACTATATATGGAATATCTAACTTACAATATTTTTAAAATTTAATTAGGGCACTTCATTCCTTTGACCTCTTGATGACCTGTTCAGTTTTAACCAATACTATCTCTGATAAAAATATTTTCTCCAGGTGAGATACATTCTTGACTTTGGAAGGGAGTTTGTTTTCTCAATTCATATATCAGTGGACCAGCAACATCCTGCATGATGATGACCTTTCTGTTAGCCTCAGTACAAATGCCAACAAATGAATAAGCTTGGAAATTCTATTACTTTTTCATCTGATCTTTTCTGTCCTGATTAGAAGTCTTTCTGGTCTTGACTAGAACTTTCAAGTGCTTTGCCATTACTAACACTTTTTTTCACTTGTCAGATGAAATTTATTCCTTTGGAATAGTTAGACCACACCTATTTGTGAGGGTGTTTATGAATGCACTTCATTACATTCTGAATGAAATTGTCTTTAAATGCATTTAGTAATAAATGAGACAATATTTTTATTAGACCAACTGATTCAGATGGAAGAAGCAAGCAATTGTGCTTAGGTTTGTCTATTAAGGTTGGTCTATTAAGGGTTCTTCTTCAGGCCTGGTATTATTTCTTGTTACAAAATTTGCCTTCTATCCTGAGAGTGTCACAGATACAGTAATACAGAAACAACCACACATTTTAGTAACTCTGTGGTTTGATTGTTGTAATTTTAAATAAAGCATCTGGGATATATTCTACTTATTCTACTTCTATAATTCTTAATACTTGCATTAACCTGCTATTTTGAGTGGACTACATTCTTATGATTAGTGAGGATTAGTGAGTTTGATAATGAGCATTCAGTTTGTTGATATCAGAACTATTATGCATTTTATAATGTTCTGTTACATTTTTATTCTGCTTTCAAATCCTGAATAGTCCTTTTAAAAAAAACTATAGTTTTGAAGATAGGGTTATCATGTTGTATTTCTATGCATCTAGGTTTTGGATATATTTAACACAAGCCCTTGCATCAAGCTTGTTCCTTCTAAATTAATTGTCATAGTGCTGCTGTTTTTGTTAGTTTTGTTAATCATTTCAGCAACATTACTCAGATATTCAAATAGGAGTTTCACCGAGATAGGATTTCTAATAATGCATAGTTAAAATGTCTTTATAAAAAAAAGTATTAGTATGTTGAACAATTATTACAAAACCTGTTTATACTTACAGCAGCTATTTAGTATTACACAACTCAAAAAGCATTCAGAACTCCATGTATCATTTAACAAAGTAAAAATGCTTTCTGTCTAGAGAGAGTTCATACAGATTATGTTCAGTAAGTCTTATGAGATGGACCATATAGTTCATAGTCAATGCTTTGGCAGAAAAAAGCACTGCTGAATCACTCTCTACTCGTAGGCAGTAGTTGTAATACTTATGAAACTTGAGAAGCCTTTTTCATGTGGTGTTTTAAATGCCCCAGTGTGCAACAGCAGGGAAATTTAACTCAGTGTTTAAATACCTAGTTTAAAAAAGAGACCTATGTTATGCTTCTCTTTATCATATATTCCATCAAAAAATCTTAGGAAATGCAAATATACATGAAAAAAATTGTTTCTTATATTAAAAAATGATGAACATATCTATTCATGTAGCAGAAACATTAAGTTTTCTTCATTAAACCCAAACATTGTAAATCTGTTGGAGTACTTTTTCTGCAGTGCTTAAAGGTTATTTAGTTTTAGTTTCCTCTGCGAAATTGGTAGTTATATAAAGAAAATCTGTCCAGAGGAAACCTTTTTTTCATTCTTAACACATTCTTAAAAGAGGTTCTTCTGTCACTCTCTTTTCTGCATCAGATTATAATTTTCAATCATATCATTCTTACTTTTAGACTGATACTTAACATCTATTTCTGTGGCATTGCTAAAGCATAAAATTTCCACTTCCCACACACGTGAACACAGTGACAGTATTGGATGTGTCTCTATATATCATTTGCTCCACAATGATCAGTTGTAGCTTTCTCAAACTTAATTTTTACAGGAACATAAACTTGTGCTTTATATTTAGAACTCTTATAATGAAATTCACATTCTATCACACCAGAAGCAGTACAGTTTACTGAGATCCTCATCTGCTTCGTGTGGTAATGATAAGTACTGATAATGAACTTGCTGAAGGTTCCATTTGCTAACATTTACTTTTGTCGAACCGGAATTGAAACTCCTTCTTCTGACTCAATGTGCTGAAAAAGGCCTCCTTAAACTGACATATTTCTTAGAGTCAAAGATAAATGTTAGCACTACTTTCTAATTAAACTAAGGACTGGTAAAATTGACTTTTAATATGGTTCTTCTGTATTCACTGAAATGCTCCTGACATTTTGCAAGGCATGTGAGGCATCATTACATACAGGCAGTTTCTGCTTTTAAAAAAAGCCTGTACCATCAAAATATGCACAAAACACATATTGGAGTATATATTTGAATTTAACTAATTTATTTTATAAAAATTCTGACTGTTAATTATTCTAAAGGAAAAATGTGTTTACTGACAATACCAGAAAATACTAGAAAGTTAAATTACTATTTATCTTTGCATATTAAACATTCAACACATTATTTTTTTTAAATCAAAAATTCCTTGTTCATCCTACTTACACAATGGATAGTATTGCTGAAACTGGAAATAGACAAAATTGTGCTACTTATTGAAAATTAACAAATCAAACAATGTGTAATAAAGAATGCAGGACAGTGCAAAAATTTAACTAAATGCGGGTATGTATTCTTTTATTTCCATTTCCTTGAAATGTTGTTTAGGTTCAGCCTGAAATATGACATATACAAAAAGAAACTTTATTGAAGAATTTTTCTCTGTATATTCTGAATAATTATTGCTGGTTTAAACAACACAATAACTTACTGATAAATTGAAGCTGATGCTTAATATCTCTGCTTACTTTAAGAATTGTATTTTAACACACAGTAGTTTTGTAAAACCGCTGAAGGCAATAATGTTGTGTGGATAACATGAAATCATCATCTCAGTGATATTAGTGATACATCAAGAACTCTTTCAGAATTTGCCATGAAGAATGTTCTTTCTGCAATTGTCACTGTATGTTTATGTTTTCATTAGTGCGCTGAACATAGACAGTGTTTAAGCTGAATGACAGTGTTGGTTTTAGTGCCCTTCTGGAAGGCATCTTATGTAACCTAGGGAAAGTGTAATTTATAGTAATATATCTCCACTGAAGTTAGTTTTTCATTATAATCTTCTAGTCACTAGAAAGGTCATCTCTTGGAAAGACAGGCATTATTATTAAAAGTTTCAGGGTAGATCAGACTGCAACATGAAATGACCTTCTAACGTTTCATTTTCCTTTTCACAGAATATTAAAATCTTTCTCCAACGATCTGAACAAGCACAGTCAACTGATGAAAAAATCACCACGTGTAAAGATATCAATGTAAGAAAAATTGTTGTTCACGAACATTAAGAAATCTTTTTTTTTTTAAGTCTGTGAGAAATGTGTCTTAGATCTCCAATACTCCCGTCCATGGGAAAGGATTGTTTGTTTATTGCTGTGAGAGCAAAATCCTATTGCAATTACACATTTTCTGTTATTTTAAATTAAAAAACAAACAAGAACAAAAAACCAGGGAAAGTTATGGTTAGTTCATATTAAATAATCTGATGATACTTCAAATAAAATTAAACCAGTTTCTGAACTTAAATGGAGCTGATAGTGTGTTCATTAATAATTGCTATAAGAACAGAGTATGTCCAATTCTTGTATCAGCTAAGATATCTGGTCACCTTTTGTTCTGTGTATAGTTTATTAATTAATTAATTTTAATGAATTAAATGTAATCAATTAATATTTTAAAATGTTACAATTTATAACTAATAAAATAAGTAAATTAAAACACTGTTTTCTCTAAGATCAGGATAAACCACCAAGAGAACATCATGTACATGAAAATGGAGTGCTTGTTGACAGAGGAGTTGATGAATCTTTGTTATCCAACCTTTCTATTTCTAACCTTCCATTACAGTTCAACTCTGCTATCACCCACTAAAAATGCTTTTTCTCCAGAGCAGCACCACACACAGCCCAAGGTTATGGGTGCACAGGGTGCTCCTCCCCAGTAACCTCCCCTCCCATCACGTTGCACCACACAGGCCCCAGATGAAGCGCTAAGGTTGGCACACCACCATTTGTGGTTCCACTGCTAATTCTACACATTGTATCAGTAGTCACTAGAATTTACACTGGGGTCACACACAAGTGTTCTCAGTAATTGACTAAAAGCCCTTTTTTAATTGGCACAGTGTATTCAAGGGTGCAGTGTGCTCCAGACACACGTTCCAGGTTTTCACATACAATAGGTGTTTGTCTAAAAATCTCTATGGCACACGATGACACCTAGCGGATGTTGCCTTCTGTGACAGATTAAGCAGAGTCTAGATGAAACACTTACTTACTGTTGAAGTGGTTGTTTCTTTTTCTATATCCAGTCTGACTCTTACTGGCTTTCCTGGAAGCTGGTCTGGAATAGTTTTCATAGAAATTTTCTTGTTAATAGGATGTTTGTGTTTCCTTGCAGTTTTATTCAAATTTTCCATTCTTTTATGGCTAGTTACGGCTAACTATAAGATGATAGGAATTATTTTTTTCATGGAACTTTTTACCATAAATTTTAGAACACATTTTCTAATTAATTCCTCTGGGATTCAACATTGAGATGTCTAATAAATCCTCAGTTTTCAGTGGTACTCATTCTTTTATCTACAGTTTCAAGTTTTCTGAAGACTGAACACAGCAAGTAGGTAACTGTGATTATCTAAACTCAGTATGTCTTCTAATTTGCAGTCTCTTGCTGCCCAAGATGTTAGCAAACCTTGTGCATTCCACATTGTCTTGCTAGCTTGGAAATATAATTAATAAATAAATACTTCCAGGATGCCTACTTGTAGCTGAACACCAGTTCCTCATTCTGGGGAACATTTTTCTGCATTTGGCAGTACCACAGTAACATTACACAAAGCATTTAAACCTTCCTTTCCCTCATTTGACTGAGCAGAGTACTCAAACATATGATGCTCTCTAAGAATACAAATAGTCCCGTTGAACTCACCTCACTCATAGGGAACCACAAACCTTTGCCCTTTGTTTACAACTGCTATCTGCACAGAATATATTTACATTTTTAATGTATCTTTATTATCATAGAATCATGGAATGGTTTGGGTTGGAAGGGACCTCAAAAACCATCTAGTTTCACCCCCCTGCCATGGGCAGGGACACCCTCCACTAGACCAGGTTGCCCAAAGCCCCATCCAGCCTGGCCTGGAACACTTCCAGGGATGGGGCATCCACAGCTTCTCTGGGCAACCTGTTCCAGTGCCTCATCACGACAGCAGAGTAGAGGGGCAGAATCACCTCACGCCTCCCTGGTCACGCTTATTTTTTGTCAAATCTGCTTAGTCAAGTCACATTACCTTTTAGCCAAGTGTGTATGACATAATATAGTACTTGCATAACATTTGCTGATGTTCCTAATGACTTTTCTAAATTGCCTGCTTGAGGTATAAAACAGTTATGTATGAAAAAAGCAACAGCAGCATACAAAAAAGAGAAACTGGTGTAGTTATAGTTAGACAATGACTAGCAGACCTACCTGTAAAACACGTTGTTTTCTGTCATGATAAAATAATAAACATTGTCACATTTTTAGAACTTGCTGATGTCAATAATGTCAGGTTTGTTTCTTTGTTGATTAAAGACAGTCTAGAGGTAGCAGATCAAAGCATCTATATGTGATATATGAAGGTCAGAATAGAACCCAGTAAGCTTATCCCTTCAGGCAAATAATGTGTCTCTTCACTCTATATATTTTGTGCTAACCGCACCAGCACATTGTAGCTAAGGACTATCTTAGAAACAGATGTAACTTTGTTGTGCCCCCGCAAACCATGCTAAAACCTCAACATCCTCGTTTTACTTATGACAACAGACTTTATGATGCATACAAATTAATCTGCTTTGTTACCAGAATCATTTCTTCACATAGTATGTAAAACTTGGTGAAAATTTCATCCCTAATATTCTTGAAGAATTACATATATATACATATGTATTAATATAAATATATATATAAGTATGAATATTCATACAAGACTTTGGGGTTTTTTTTCTCATGTGAAAATATGACATGGATAGGAAAAAATTACAGTGCAGTTCTCTGCCTTTTGTATGTTTTGGAATCTTTAAAATTTTTGCACTTGTTCCGTATTTAGTTTCTTTAATAAAAGCCAGCTTTAATTACTAAGTGTTAAATTCTGATTTGCATACTGGAATTCTCCATGTGAAAATAAAAAGGTATTATTTTTGGAAAGCCTTGCCCACAGTCTGTAAATCTAAATGAGGTAAAAGGAACTTCAGCTACTGGAAATCATAAATTGCTATTTAGGCAAGGTTCTTCAAGTGTTATTCCTTTGTCATACACTGTTTATATATTTTACCTATGGCCTAGAATGGAATATAAAATCATTACTCATTAAGTTTGGAAATAAGTGCAAATTGTGGAGCAATGTCAAATAATAAAAAGTGAACTGAATTGCATAGTGAAATGTCAAACAGTACGTATTTCTCTAAGGTAAAAGTAAAGGCATCATTTAAAAAGCAAAGGATGCATGCCCTGACAATAGCAACTTACTTCTGTTAACAATTGCTACTAAAGTATCACAGGAGTTATTCAATACACTTGGAGTTCCCAGCCCAATGCTGGAGTCCGGACATGAAGGAAGTCCTTGTATTTATGAAGGTGGAAGGCTGAGTAGATTTGCATTCAGGTTTGGCAGTGGAGTTACAGTCATATCATGTTCAGTTTTCATATCTACACTTCAAGCAGGATGTTGAAAACTGGAAAGTGTTCAGAGAAGAACCACAAGAATAATGGGAAATCATGTCTTGTACCAGAAAATTCAAGGAACTCAGCCTTCTTACTTCATCAAAGGAAAACTTAATGGTGGTTCAGATATTAGTTTACAAGAACCCATTAAGGTATCTTCATTCCAGTGGACAAAGACAAGCAATGTTCAATGGTTGGAACCTTAGGCTTCAAAGTAACATGCAGATTTTTAACAGCAAAGTAGATTAACTGTTGAAGCAACTTGTGAAATGTTGTGCAGTTTCCTCATCACAGAGTTATAAAATCAATATAGATAATTATTTTAAATCCAGTTTGTGATGGGAACTGAAACAAGAAATAACTGCACTTTTGATATTAAAATACATAATTACAAACAAAACCTGAAAAATTAGTTTGGCTTTCAGTTAATTGTATGCAACGTGTTTGATCCTGTTTTCACAGCATGCTATCTTTTAATGTTATATTTTCTCCACTCCTCAACTTCAAGGTATTCTTGTATATGCTGCATAGAAAATTAATTGGATAGTTTGCCTTAGAAAAGATGCAAGGGATTTTATATTAACAATATTCTTATCATAATTAAATTTACTTGTATTCCATCTCTGCAAAAATGTTCTTTCAAAAAATCCAACAAACCAAACAGTACTGCTGAATTAGGATGTCTGCTACACTTTTATTGATGTGTATAAAATCTCTCTGCATAAATCAAGCTCAACATTTCATTCTGTAAAGAATTCAAGCACCATACTAGTCTGTTTCAGGGGTGTGATCCATTCCTCTACGTAAGTAGAATCCCTCCAGGCACATCACTCAGGAAGCAGAGTCTGGCACAGGAAGATTCAAAAATTTACCAGAACATTTTCAAAGATTTTTTTTTTTTTTTTCACTTCAAAATGTGGCTCTGTGATGTCACATTGCCACCATAATAGCAAGAAAAGTTCCTCAATCTGCTCTGTGGTCCATACCTCAAAATTTCCACTGCAGCACGAGGTTCAGCCATGGTTTCTTTTTGTATTCTTCATAAGTGAAGCAAGCCAGTTTGTGAAAAGCCTCTTAGCTATGCTGAATTTTCTTAATGTATGAAGACTGCTAAAGAGAAGTTCTCCAAACTGTTGAAAGAAGCACAAGACAGAAGACAGAACCACAAGCAGAAGATAGATACAATCTGAAAATCAAGCAGTCTGCACAAAAGTATTTGCAATACTATAGTTAAGAGATTAAAACAACAGCAATCAGAAAATTTCAAAAGATGCAATATTGTTCACTTTACCAGGACAAATTACTTGCTTTGGTACTGCTTTTGTTACCTTTAACAGATTCTATAACAAATACAGTCATTTGTAACTAGAAAAGCAATTTTATTTCATTCTTGATTTTACAAAATTTCCTTGACTGTAAGAAATATTTTTAAATTATTTTTAACTATTATGTGTAATGAAGATTCTGCAGTTTGACATCTCATCATAGGACATCCCTGCAAATTCAAGGACAGATGCTTCGGTCTGGCTGCCCCTTTGGAAGGAGTAACCTC